GGTAGGATGAAGGATCGGCTCTGGTGGTACGCGCAGTATCTTCGGATCCGTAGTATTATCAAGGCTTCCTCGCTGATCTGGGATAGGTGGTAGCTTGATCTTGTTATTATTCAAGGAGGGAACTCTTTCTGAAAATAGCTGGAAACATCTTCGTTCCTTGAAAGAGTACTCTTTTTGGAAGTCTCGGATCCGAAGTCTTTTGCTGCCTTCGGATTGTTGTTGTGACATTGAATTAGCAGCCAAGCAAGCAGCATGCAGGTGCCTTGCCCTTAGCCACGGGAAGCAAAAGTTCGAGTTCGGAGGATTGGCCGTCGGTTGGCTGCCTCTCGCCTTCTTCCTTCGGAAGAAGCGTTCGGCTTGCTCTCCGACGTCTTCAACTCTTTCCAAGTGTTGGGACGGTGCGACTCACCAATAACTTCTAATATTCTCAATAGATAGGTTGTTAATGACATGTCTGGAAGGATGAAGTCTCGCGTGATGCGGGATCTAGCAATTCAATTGCTTTATTCCGCGAAAGCGGCTTGACGAAGTCGTCGACTTCGTCTCATCATTTCTTGCTTCTCATCGAAAAGTGTCGCTGGATGTGATAGCCTCGTCGTCGTCATCAAAGAAGTTACCAAGAATGAGTTCTCCATATGCGTCCAGTTGTTTACTTCCGGGCTTTGCAAGACGGCGGTACCAAGATCGAAGCCGGGCCCGCCGCGAACGGGGTGCCAACGAATGACCGAAGCCATCAGGCTTCCATTACGGAGATCATACGCAAGTTGGGACTTGAAGTAGATCAGATGTTGATGGGGAACCCTTCCCTGGATCAAACGGCGGGAAGCTTAATTAGGTTGAACTTTGCCGGATACGGGATCGAATTCGCATTCTCTTGGATAGGGACATGAGAATGCCGCGTCCTTTTCAGACCTCTCGAGCAGACATTAGAGCGTTGATTTTACTCTCGAGATCTTTCATTTTCTCATCCTGCAGCTCGTATCGCGGGCTTTGGACGATTCTTAAAGGAATTACACGGAGCCACCCCCAGCGGTTGTCGTCTTTAGTGGGCCACCCCCAGCGTTTTGGTCAACGAGAGGGTTATCAGCATTTAAAGGCGTTCATCCATCACTCTGAAATCGGCTAGCCTACTTGGTTAGCAGCGTTCATGCGAACGGCTGGATTCGCCCATTTTGATTGTAAAGAAGCCGGCGAATCTGTCGCGCGTGCTTTTCCCCCTTCATCCGCTAGGCATTAGCACATTTCCATTTCGATCTTGAATGCCTGCTTTCTGTTTCGGCCAAAGGCATCTCAACCATTTGCTACTTGCGCTCGGTATTGATGCAATGGAAACAATTCACGTGGATTAGTCTCGCGACTGGATACCGTATTATCGAGAAGGCGATTGCCGAGTTAAGCCGTCCCGATGCTTCATCATTCCGAGGATAACCCTGCTCTGCATTTCTCTGATTATCCGCTTTGTCTAATAGTTCCTGATCGCAACGGCGGTTAGCACGGTGCGATACGAGAGGGTCAGAACTAGAAGGTCGAATCGACTTTCCCTTATCGTCATTATAATTGCTGACTTTTGGAAGTTCGTGTATCAAAATGAAGCATCGATCGCTTCTTAAACGGAGACGTTTGCCGTTTGGACCTTAGTCATTCCGTTGGAGATCCTCTCGATACGGAGACCCTCTGGCGGAGCGGTCTTGGGCACAACTGCACGCTGATAATATACTGCCCTGATATAGTCTGGTGCGCGGGCAGTGAGTATTTGGTTTCTCTGGGCATATGCTCTCTGAGACTCGTTCATAACCCCCAGCCGATAGTACAAGCTCATGATCAGCATGACCGGAGCACCTTTAATCGGCTGTGACATGACTCCCCTGTAATAACGTTGTCATCGTCAATGAATAACGTTTCTTTCAAAGGGAGTTGCTCCGGCTTTATTAGATTCTCGAGTCACCGTGTGTTAGCAACTACGCTTTTTGGGAGCGGCTAGGATCTCAACCAAGGGCTCTTGGTTTTGGATAAACACCCCAGCAAGGCGCGGGTAGAAATTGGGAGTTTTCCCTTCATGAGCAAGCGCTTTGAAATTGTTATGAGGGAGTGTGCGACCCCCAGCTCGACGAATTCGCTCCGGGTTCAGTCACTGGAAGCCCAAAGCATGTCTCGATCAGAACTTTGCCTCGATGCCTAGTGCAAAGGACCCAGTGGCGATCGACTATGCCTCACCTTGAAATGGAGAACCAAGTCCGCACTGTCCGGTGCTGCCATCGAGTGTGCCGGAACTCATAGGATCGACAGAACAGGTGGCAGAACATCTTCTGCCGTTGACTCTGGCGCGGGTCAATTTAGTGACGCGACCGGGTTTGGAGGGTCGGATTCAAGTGACCTGCCGATTTAAAGGTCGGATCCAAACGACCATGCAAAGTGGAAGGGTCCGATCGCGAGTGACCTCGCGATTTGAAAAGGTCGGCGTCCAAACGACTTGCAAAAGTGGTAAGGTCGCGATCCAAGTGGACCTGCGCGATTTGGGAAGTCCAGGTTCAAGGACCTGCGAATTGGCGGGTCGGATTGAAGTGACGCGCGCCGTTGCCGGCAGGGTGCGGATTCAAGTGAACCCGCGATTCTCGCGGATCTTGTTCGGCCGCGTTTTGGATTTGGCCTCCCAAGTTTGGATGCAGTCTTGGTTGTTTCTTAGCTATGTCCTTCTTCTGTATCTTTTGTGCTTTTGCACAAGAATTCGCCGTGCGCAGGCAAGGCGCGCGACGCTTTTCGAATTCGCTCTCCAAGAGTTGGGAAACGGGCGGATTCTTTTGATTTGGATGCCATTCATTTGCTATATGTTTGGGAGGGGAGACATCTGTCCGCCTGTTTGGGGTGCGCTTGGCGTTGCCTAATTTTCAGATCCGGCCTCGTAACGGATCCGTCAATTGACCTCAAGGCCTTTGCGATGTTGGCGCGCACAGCGTTGGCCGCTGCCTTTGACGAGTTCTCTTGATTAAAATAGCGCGCCCTTCTGTAACTCAACTCCTTGCATTGAGGAGGAGTTCAGATATGCCAGATCCGGGACGCATTGGAGGCCGGAAGGCGCGGCGTTGTAGAGGCTCAGCTACCGCCAACAACGGGGGCGTTGATCTTCCTTCGCTTGCGAGATTGCGGAGCGATCTGGGGAGAGGACGACAGATATTCCTGCGAACTTCAGCTTGTCGACTCGTACTCGACCACTTACTTCAACCGGGATGCAGATCGCGAGGTTGCGACACGACAGCTCCGGCAGCGAAGCTGTTGCTCCCACTTGTGGTCGCAGGTTTGTTTGCTGAAAATGTATGTATCATTGTGCGTATTGCATTACAACTTCCGGTCCGTTAACAATGAGAAAACAAAAAGATCAATGCTTTTTATAAGATCTTTACACAATGAAAACACAAAAGTTACAACTTGGCTCGTCAAAAAACAAAACGCAGAGATCGTTTATCGAGTCTCTGCTGTGTGGGATCTTTGCTGTTGCCGGGGTGTTATCCGTGGACCGCTTTAAGATCTGGATCCGGTTGAATGGAAAATGCGCAGAGCCTTCGGCCTTCGCGTCGAGGCAAAGTATTTGATTGTGAAGCGCTGAGATCGACCAAGCGCGAAATCAGGGCTCTTCTCGAGATTAAACCAAGCCAAAAATACTCAAGGGAAGGATGGGATATGGGCTCGGATCTCTGGATACTCTCCTTCGTTTATGGCGAAAGAACTCGCCAAGATTGATCTGTCAACCTCGCTGAAATTCGTGATCTCTTTGACTCCAGCATCCGGGCAGCACCTCCTCGTCTGATAATCATCGCGCCTCGCTGAAAGGAGGCCGCTAGGCTTGCTATTATACAGGCGCTTCAAGAAGCGTTTATTTGTATGAGAACAAGTGATTTGGCTCTATCTTCAGTGAAACAGCCTAACCACGGTTGGGATGAATCTTCAAGCTAGTTAAGAACCTCTGGAACCTGAAAAGATCTGCGAGAAAAACCGTTTAAAACCGTCGAAATAACACATCAGGGGGTCAAACAGATGGCGGGACAGATCTGGCTTGACCCGCGCTTTGCGCGCGGTCGCGACCAGTCCGACCCGCCACTTGAGACGGGTCGGAACAAACTTCGCGACCCGCGGCTATGCGTTGCGCGGTCGGACCAATCCGACCGCGCTTGCGCGGGTCGGAACCATCCGACCGCGCTCGACCGCGCGGGTCGGGTTTGTTCCGTCGCCGCCGCTCTGCGCAGTCAGTTGTTTTCATGCGCTCGCGCAGGTTTGTTTGATTTTTTCTTCTTTTCCGTTCTCTTTCTTTGAGACTCCTTGTCCTTCGTCAAGTGTTTCTGTGGTTCGTTTCGTTGATTATAATGCTTTGAGTTGATTGACGGCTCGTGTTGTATTGACGCATGCGAGCTGATTGGGCCGGCAGCGGCGAGTGACTGTCAAGCGCGCAGGTCACTTGATTCGCACGTTTTGCTTCAGCGCTTGCGGCGTCAGATAAATCCTCTTAGACTCGGATAAACATATGTCCGTCGTCTTCTCTCTTGTCTCGAGGCTGGTGTGGATACCTATAGGCATTTTTAGACGCCTACACTCCTCACCTCTCTCATTGGCTGAAGCAAGAAGAAAAGTTGAACAAGTGAATAAAGCTAAGCCTCAAATAAAGAGGTCTTCCTCTTCATAAGTTCTTCTACATTTCTCTAAAAATCTTTCAAGTGTTCTCTAAGTGTTCTTCATATTCTTCTTCATACTTAGCGGTTTATTCTCTTGGTTTCTTTCGGGTTTCTCGGGTATTACGGTCTTGGGCTAGTGCTAAGCACTATCGGTGTTATCTTTACAATAGAGTACCTAAAGATGAGATTACATTTTGGCAATTCTCTTGGTCACATAAGAAATCAAACAATAGTAAAGAAAAGTAATGTAGTAACCTTTAGCATATTCATGAATTTAGCAAGCCAAATCACAACCAATTGAAAGTCGTTAATAACCCGATCATTGTATTTCTTTTTGGGGTTAGTTTGGTCTTACACAAAAATCTGTTCTTACAGTGTGTATTCTTAAAAATATATATATCAGAAGATTTATTGTACAAAATGAAATAAAAGGAGACTCTTTATACCTTGGATATTCAAGGGAAAGAAAAATGGTGAAAATGACTCTATATTCATGACCAACTCCAAATGCAGATAAAAAATAATGGCCATAGCACAGGTGATCTCTCATAGTCTTCCTGGATTCTTCGACTTTTCTTTCAACTTCATAAATGTGACAAACTTATATTAGAGAGAAAAGCGATACAAAAAAGAACAGTATGCCTATAAAATCAAGATAATCTAAATTTTCACTTACAAAGAATAAGAGAGAGATAATTCAGGGAAACTAAGCTACTAACATCACTTAGTCAAGCTCAGTTTCGATAACACAGCTGCTGCCTGATCTCCCCCTAACAAAAAATAAGGATGCCTGAGAGCAGAAGCAGCAGACAATCTTCCTCTTCTGAGAGATCCTCTCTCTGAAACAAGCTTTGTAGCCAAATCCCACCCTCTACCAGAGTCAAGATCCAGTAAGCGCAAATCTGGCCTTGACCGAGTTCTCTCTCTCCATTTATTTAGATCATAACCAGCATATTTTATCTCTGAGTTGAAGTTCTTAAGACCCGCACTTGACCTTAAACTTGGAACTGCCATTTGCATTAGTATGATACCGGCTGAGTACATGTCGAACAGATCAGGACTATTAAGCTGCAGGAACAGACAATTGTGTTAAGCTTTATAAAGATGAGAAGTATGCGTGTATGGCTTAAGAAATTTTTGCATATTTTTATATTAAGTTTTCAATCCTTTCATAAAAAGATATAAGATCTGGGGTTATGTAAGTTGAAACACATAAAACGAAGTAGCACGGCATAAAACTAACCTGCCAAAGAATTGGAGAAAGAATAGCTGCGATTGGTTCAGGTGGAGGCTCTGGTGTCTCCTCAGGCATCACATACATCTCTGGAGGGCAATAATCTGGATCAAGCAATCCACGATCAGGTACATAATTCTTACCAATACGAAGATCAGTAGCTGCACCGAAATCTATGAGCTTGATCTTCCCTTTTCTTGTTACCACTAAATTTGCTGGCTTGATATCTCGGTGAACAATTCCAGTGTCATGGATTTTTTTGAGAGATGTTATTATCTGTCGCATTATCTGTTTAATAATCAGCGCGTTTCGTTTTATTGAGTCTAGGCCTTGGAGGACGCGGCCAAACATGATGGATTCTAAGTTTAAGGGGAAGCTTCGCTCGTTCATGTAATCAGACAGATTTCTGTCTCCCTGTAAAGTTTAGTACCGTTTAGTAATAGTGAGAAAGAAAAGGAAATGTTTGAATAAGAAACATAGAAAACTGAGATGTAGAAGAATTTTTAACACTTTTGGTATGAATATACAATATGTAACTCTGTGATAAGCTGTTTCATATTGCAGGTTTCCTATGTTTATATACTTGGTTTCAAGCTCTAATATACTTGGCTTCAAGCTCTATTGTGTTGGGAATCTAACGCTGAAACCCCTAATGCAACAGAAACGCAGTATAGAGAACAGTACACCAAGATTTACGAGGTTCGGCAACTGCCTACGTCCTCGGGAGCCACACAGTCAATTTCTTATTTAATCTAACGGCAACTGCCTACGTCCTCGGGAGCCACACAGTCAATTTCTTATTTAATCTAACAAGAAATTACAAGTCAAGAGCAAATCTCTAAACTGAGATTTCTCAAAGATGAACACTGTAGCTACAGTGTTAATACCCACAATAAAATCCCCCCTTCTCTTTTCTCTCTCTTCTTAAATCCCCTTTCAAAACACTGTTGAAAAGCTGGGATTAAAATCGCTGCTGCGATTTGAGAAAGGAACGCTCCTGCGTTAAATGGGATCTGCCGCCAAGGAAGAACAAAGGGGAAAAAAAAGCAACAAACCCTAGGATCGGGGTTGCTTATTTATAGAGGGGGATGACAGGCTGGCGACAGCCTGTCGCCAGCGATCTGCTCGGACGCGAGCATGGGAGGCCTGGACGCCGAGGTCGGTGCCAAAAACACCGAGGGTCGCGTCAACACCGAGGGTCGCGTCAGCACAAAAACAACCATCGCGTTCGCCTGAGGGGAGTTCGCCGTCGACTCCGTCACTGTCGTCTGCGTCATCCTGGAGCTCGTCGGAGCTCCTCCGCCGGCGGAGGTTGGTATCCACCCCCAACCTAACAATCTCCCACTTAGAAACCAAACCGACGCCAACAGGCTATCCCATCAATATCCTTCCCCTGTGTGGCTCCGCCCTCATCATCTATGCATGAAGGCCAACTGAAGTTGCGCACAACTTCAGTTTCTGAAAGGTCGCTGCCTTTGTCAACATATCCGCTGGATCCTTTCTTCCTTTGATATTCTGTTGAAATCCTTTGACAACTCGTCGGGCTCTGTATTTTCTGGAACCATTCTGCTCCTTTTTCACTCGATACACCCACTTGTTGTGACGTGCCTTCTTCCCTATGGGCAACTCAGCTAGTCCCCATGTATGGTTGGAGATCAGAGATTTCTTCTCTTCTTTCGCAGCAAACTCCCACTTGCTCGCATCTCCACTCTGACAAGCTTCATCAAAGCTTTCAGACTCTCCTCCATTTGTCAGCAACATATAATTCATGTATCTGCTGTTAGGCACAGGAGGACGAGTAGTTCTCCTCAATATCGGAGCTGGTGCGTCGGGCTCCTGCGCACCGTTCTGTCCAACAGGCTCTTCTGGCTGAGGACCTTCTGCATTGGGTTCTTCAGAGAGGTTATTTGGGACATCATCTGCATCTACAAATGTTGACTCGCTCTCTGAGTCACTGAAATCTGTCTTGTGCATGTCCTTATACATCACCTTCTCGTTGAATGTCACATCTCTGCACTTGATCACCTTCTTGTTTTCGTTGTCCCAATGCGGTAGCCGAACTCGTCTTCACCATACCCGATGAATGTGCATTTCTTAGACTTGGGATCAGGCTCATTCCTGCCTTGATCACTTATATGCACATAAGCTACACAACCGAAAACTTTGAGATGTGAGAGGGTTACCCCCTTTCCGCACCATACCTCTTCTGGTATTCTGTGCTCCAATGGAACCGATGGACCTCGGTTGATCAAGTAAGCTGCTGTGTTGACTGCTTCTGCCCAGAACTGCTTCGGTAGACCTGACTGCATCCGAATGCTTCTGGCTCTCTCTGTCAACGTTCTATTCATGCGCTCAGCCACACCATTGTGCTGAAGCGTGCCGGACACGGTTCTCTCCATTCTGATTCCGTGCTCATAGCAGAACTTCTTGAATCTGGTGTCTTCATACTCACCACCATTGTCTGTTCTGAGTTTCTTTACCCTCAAACCGGTCTCATTCTCGACCATGACTTTCCATCTTCTGAAAGCCTCAAGCACTTCTGACTTTTTCTTCAGAAAGTAGACCCATACTTTCCGAGAGTGATCATCAATAAAAGTCATGAAGTAGTGTTTCCCACCAATCGACGCGGTGGTTGTTGGTCCCCAAACATCCGAGTGAACGAGCTCTAGCTTCTGCTTCCTAGGGGGTCTGCCACTTGTCTGAAAGCTAACTCTCTTCTGCTTTCCAAGTATGCATTCTTCACACACATCAATCTCTACTGATTGTAAACCTGGGAGTTTTCTCTTTGTGTGCATAATCTTCATCCCCTTCTCACTCATATGACCGAGTCTCTGGTGCTACAGCTTTGAAGTCTCATTGCCTGCTGCAACTGAGATCGAACAACGTGCACCTGCTATCATATACAGGGTACCGGTCTTCCTGCCTCTGGCAATCGTCATTGCGCCCTTCGAAATCCTCCAGTCATCGCCATGGAAAGTCATCGTGTAGCATTCACTAGCCAGCTGGCTTACTGAGATTAAGTTCCTCTTCAGGTCGGGAATATACCTGACATCCTTCAGCTCCCATACTGACCCATTCAGCTTAATCTTCACTACACCTTTGCCAATAATGGCACATGCTTGATCGTCACCAAGATATACATTTCCAAGGTTTCCGGGGATATACTTCTCGAGGAATTCTTTCTGAGAAGTAGCATGGAATGATGCTCCCGAGTCCAACACCCAAGACTCCTCCTTGCTCTCCAAAGAGCATATCAGCGCATCATCTCCTCCTGAGGTGGAGGCAACGTTCACATCTGCATTTGCCTCCCACTCCTCCCGTGCACTCCTGCACTGATTCTTGTAGTGCCCGGTTTTCCCGCACTTCCAACACTCGATAGCCTTCGAACTGTTGGGATTTCTGGATTTGGATCTCCTATCATCTGATCCATTTCCTCTGGTTGAACTTTTACCTCTTGACTCTGTATGCAATACTGAAGAGGTTGTAGCTTCACCCGACTCTCTCCGTCGGATCTCCTCACTGAGAACCAGATCACGAACGTCGTCAAACTTTAACTTTTTCTTTCCCGATGAGCTACTCACAGCTGTGACCGTAACGTTCCAACTCTCTGGTAGGGAAGACAAAAGGATCAACGCTCGAACTTCCTCATCAAACTCAATATCAACTGAACTCAATTGGGTCGTGACTGTATTGAGTTCATTGAGATGATGTGCTACCGGTGCACCTTCCGCCATTCGCAGATTGAACAACCGCCTCATCAAATGGACTTTATTTGAGGCTGATGGCTTCTCATACATATTGGAGAGTGCTGCCATAAGATCTGCCGTGGTCTTCTCCTTTGCAATGTTAAAAGCAACATTGCGGGTTAACGTCAAACGAATAACCCCGAGGGCTTTTCTGTCTAGAAGATTCCAATCTTCTTCCTTCATACCCTCCGGCTTCTTCCCCGAGAGAGGTTGATACAGATTTTTCTGATACAGATAATTCTCTATCTGTATTTTCCAGAATCCGAAATCTGTTCCATCAAATTTCTCAAGTCTCAGCTTTCCTTCATCTGCGGCCATGACTCCCACTTGAATCTGACTTCCTCTAGATCGTTTCACGCTCTGATACCAGTTGTTGGGAATCTAACGCTGAAACCCCTAATACAACAGAAACGCAGTATAGAGAACAGTACACCAAGATTTACGAGGTTCGGCAACTGCCTACGTCCTCGGGAGCCACACAGTCAATTTCTTATTTAATCTAACAAGAAATTACAAGTCAAGAGCAAATCTCTAAACTGAGATTTCTCAAAGATGAACACTGTAGCTACAGTGTTAATACCCACAATAAAATCCCCCCTTCTCTTTTCTCTCTCTTCTTAAATCCCCTTTCAAAACACTGTTGAAAAGCTGGGATTAAAATCGCTGCTGCGATTTGAGAAAGGAACGCTCCTGCGTTAAATGGGATCCGCCGCCAAGGAAGAACAAAGGGGAAAAAAAAAGCAACAAAAGGATCGGGGTTGCTTATTTATAAAGGGGGATGACAGGCTGGCGACAGCCTGTCACCAGCGATCTGCTCGGACGCGAGCATGGGAGGCCTGGACGCCGAGGTCGGTGCCAAAAACACCGAGGGTCGCGTCAACACCGAGGGTCGCGTCAGCACAAAAACGACCATCGCGTTCGCCTGAGGGGAGTTCGCCGTCGACTCCGCCACTGTCGCCTGCGTCATCCTGGAGCTCGTCGGAGCTCCTCCGCCGGCGGAGGTTGGTATCCACCCCCAACCTAACATATTGAAATTTTACTAACCTAACAATAATTTACTAACCTAACAAAATTTGAAACCTGCAACATAAAATAGCTTATAATGTTTATATACATATGGTTTCAAGCTCTAATGAAAAGTTACTAACCAAACAAAATTTGAACGTAACAAGCAGGAAATGCCATGAGAATCTGAATGCTTGATGAAGTGAATGCAATGAGATGAATTAGCAACAAATCACCGCAAAGAACAAAAAAAAAAAAAACAGGTTGACATTGATTTTCAATCGATAATAGCAAAACTTGAAGCGAGAACATAGAAGAAAATATCCGAACAGGTATATATCCAGCCATGAAAAGTCATCTCAACAAATTATATACAAATCTACGACTTTAAAATGGACACAAATTGCTTATAAGATGAAAGTAGAAGGTTTAGAAATCTTGGCCAACAAATCGACACACGTGTCATCCTATTGCATTTATTACTGTACTACAATCCAAAGGAAAACTATTCTGCAGTAGCAACATGAGTTAAGATTAGATATAGTATGTTATTCGTACATATTATTTTCTTCAAGTAATTTGTATTTCATTGTACCTCAAATTTCCATACAAGCCATTTCCCCCCTTTGGTGAACTCTGAGATCGTCTTCTCAGCAACAAAAGTTCCAAGGAACTCTGCACATGATTCGGGAGCTGCTCTTGAGACCCTGTAATTGAACCACTCCTCAAAATCACCACATTCCTCAGCTCCTTTAGTTCCAACCTTAACCTGAGGGGATCTAAGAGAAGCTTATGTCATTCCTATTGTTATGCTAAAATTGTTCATTACATTCAAAGAGTATATGAGGGTTGAATAAGCCATTTGTTGCTAAATGCAAGGTCAAGGTCTTTCATGGGCTATGGTCACTATCTCTTTGCTCTGTTATCATAGTCCTATTTGGATCATAGAGAATATGAAACTCACCCTTGTTAGTTTTTAGAAAGTTATTAGAGTCGATGAATAACATTTAACGTTTTGGATGTTGCTCATCCCTAGTCATGACAGCACCAACTGTATTTTCATCATATTTTTTTTCATGTGTTTTACAAGCTACACAGATGATCGATTTAACATAGATAGAAGCAAGTGCGTCGTCTCGTGATCTTCTTTCCTCTTACTATTTCACTATGGACTATATGTGTACATTTTTCTGTTATTATTTGGGCATAGCATTAAATATGAGATTAATTACATTCTGATACCCTGATATATGGTGATTGCACATCTGATCTTGGCGTCTGTGTATCTACACGGGTAACCATGAGATCACTGATTATAGTTACATGGGCGACCTTCGAGTCTCATGGCAGATCAATGTTTTTCGTTTTTTGTTGACTTGCAGTTCTTAGTAGATATTGTTTACTGTTAGGACTAAGATTAAGGTTACAGTTAGAGTTATTGCAAGCGTTACTGACTAATTGGGTTAGGACCAAGGTTTTAACACTGAAACCTTAGTTAGGATTAGGCTTATAACTTTCAGGCTCAGACCTACTCTTTAAAAAAAGTAAAAAAAATTCTAAATAACAAGCTTATATCTAATACAATAAACGTGAAATTAACAACAAAAAATCGAAAAAAAAATGAATAACTACTACTTGCCTTCTTAAGAATAACTCTGTCCTTAAACCTCTCATCCATCTCCAACCTCTTCTTATTCCTCCCAATCCTCTCCTCAACCTTCATATTCTTCGGCACGATCGCCCCCGAATACACAACCCCAAAAGACCCCTCCCCCAGTCTCTCCCCCACAACAAAATCCTCCATCTTCAAGTTCCTCCTACCAATCAACGCGTCAAGCCCAAACTGCAATGGAGCTAAGAAATAAGCATCAATGGCACCCATTAGCACCCCGGGCCTCGCAGTCAAATACACCCAACCCAACCCAATGAAGAACAGAACTCCCCAGTTCTCGGTACCGGGTAATTGGGTATTTAACTTATTGAGAATGGGGACTAGAGAGCTTGGTGATAGGAAATCCTCCGGGATTTGGCCAAAGATTGCGTTGCACTTTTGTTGGGTTTTTCTTGGCGGGTAGATTTGAATTGGGCTTGTAGGTTTTGGAGAGGGGAGGAGTGGGAATGGGTGGGATTTTTGAAGTGGGGTTGAGGTTGGAGGAAGGAGAGAAGCCATTGAAGATTTTGGTATAAGGTTTGCAGGTTTCTGTTCTGAATTCAAATAGGAGTGTCAGCAAGAGGCTGCACTTTTGCCACGTGGCAGCCTGAGGGTTGGTTATAAGGATTGGATAAAAGGGCAGGCTCCCACCAGATAATTTAATCATCTGATCTATGAAATATTTGATTTGATTAGTCCCATATCACTGAATTTTAAAACCTATTGGTGTTTTCAGACTAATATTCCACTAGATAGCTGGTAATCTACTTATTGTGCAACTTTAGATCAACGTGGGTAGAATTTGGAAATTTATATACCTGTATCGATTTTTTTTCTTTCTTTCTTAAAACTACCAACAAGTTAGTGAACAAGATTCATTAGATAGTTCTCCTCTATAGGATAAGGTTTTATCTTAAAAGATGCATAAAGGTAGTTTCATTATCTAGTCCATACAATTGATCCTTGGTAAGTAATTTACAGGAGCTTCTAGCTTGAGCTGTGCTCATTGTTAACTCAATTTCGATAAAAGGAAGAGGAAAAAAAAATGTCCACTGAATTTCTAGTCCCTGCAGATTTCATGCATCATAACAACTAGAGTGAAGGAAACTACGCATATCTCCGTCTCAAATTTCCAAACACTAGTATTCTTTTTGAAGAATAAGGATCTTGACCCAGTTTTTTGTTGAAAACTAGATAAAATCGAGGAGTAGTAAGTCCAAAACAACGATATTACAGGTTCGACTCTAAATAAAATTATTACAGGCTGTTGAAATGTCCATCTTCAAATTAAGAACAAACACACTGAAATTATCATTCTTTATTCAGATAGAAGCCTGAAATATTAGCTTGCAGAGCTCTTCAGGTGCTGAGAAAAAGGGGCTGTGGTCAGCGTCCATGACAAAAACTTCACTTGGAGGCCATCTCTGAATCATTGCGTCCTGCTGCTCAGGCTTCACCATATTATCTCTAGCTGTCTTTATATACACCCTTCTTATTTTGTTTACATCCTCTTCTTCTCTGAAGCTTACACTGCTGAATACTTGGGCTGGCCATGGCCGAAGCAGCATTGAAGCTAAAGTTGAGTACTGACCCACAAACAAGCTTATTGTAAGAAACTTAAGGTGAACTCATATAAAATTACCACAAACTATTTTGAGTTTTACAGGAAACAGTTATATACAGAAAACTAGCACAAAATTTGAGAACAGGAAGATTAAAAAAAACCCTGACGACGTTAACAATACAGTTAGATTGTTAATTATCCTCTCATGACTCAAATAGAGCTAATCGTTTTCAATCAATTACGCCCAAGTAGATTAACTTAGTCCTCTCCATTCATGGTAGTTTCTCTCTAATGAAAATAGTTCAGAGTAGTTTTCTGAAAATTGAAAAACCATAATAACTCTGTGGAAATAAACAAAAATAGGTTGAAGGAAAACTAACCTCCTCAGGAGTTGATTGATATAAGATTATCCGTTGGAATTCTTTTCTTAGAGAAGCACTTGTTGGTGGTCTGTTGGTCCCTTGGGAAAAGTTGAGGTTGTATACATCACCAAATGATGATAAATCAGGAATTCCCTGTCTCAGGTCAAGAAAGGTAGCATTAGTTTCTCACTAACATCTTCTTCTTTGCTAAAACTCTGCTAGCCCAACAAAAGATCAGAGAACTTAATCTATTTGGATCCTCTGATCACCGCTGCACATAGGGAACATTGCCGCAGTGTAAGCCATGTGACCCACTGAATATAACACATTCTTTGGCTCAAATTATTTGTGGAGGAGAACTTGGAAAAAACAGTTTTTTGGTCATAAGTCGACTCATGCACAGGCATAAGTCGACTTATGGTAAGTCGACTTATGTTTGTGTCGTAAGTCGACTTACGATCTGCTCTGGATTGTTGATTTTGGGCTCTGGCAAGTCGACTTATCAGGTCTGATAAGTCGACTTATGATCTCTTCTCCAGTTGTCGTTTTTCGCTCTGCCAAGTCGACTTATGCAGACTGATAAGTCGACTTACGACGGGTTTTTTGGAAAGTTCAGGTTCCTATTTGCAGTCTGTTTGGGTTTCTGTTTTGGTATAAATACCAATACGATTTGAGGATTTTGTAGGAGCGTTTTGGGGGATTTTGAGCACAAAAAGAGAGATCTTTCTGAGCTATTTGTTAGGGTTATTGGTTGAGAGGTTGAGAGATTTGTTGATGAGATTAGTTAGTTCGTTTGAACGATTTGTAATCTCAATTTGTACTCTCCTTCTCTATTAGTGGAAACCCTCCCCCTTCTTGCCCCGTGGACGTAGGCAATTGCCGAACCACGTAAAACTTTGGTGTTTGTGTTTTGTTTGGTCTTTCTCTCGGCGTTTGTTGGTTTGGTTTCTCAAAGCATCATAGTTGGTTGTTTGTTTGGCTTCCGCGCCGTGCACAACAGTTTGTTCATGTCCAGAATTCAATTTCCTGAACGGAAGAGGCTCGGCAGTAGTTTTTTTTTTTCTCGGGGGTGGCTCGCAATAAGTTATTTCTCACTTTTTGTGTGGATTTCAAAAGCTTGAATATCCACTCGATGAAGATTGACGTGGAAAAGTTCAATGGCACAAACAATTTTGGACTTTAGCGATGCGAAGTCATGGATGCGCTCAACGCGCAAAATTTGGAAGATACGTTGGAGTTGGTCGGAAAACCGGACAATATTGATGAGAAGGTTTGGAAAAAGATGAATCGAACGGCGTGTGGTGTGATTAGGTCTTGTCTCACTCAAGATCTAAAGTATGATGTGATCAATGAGACTTCTGCAAAGAAGATTTGGGAGATCCTTGAGAGCAAGTATTTAACCAAGAGTGTGGAGAATCGCTTGCATTTGAAGAGGAGGCTTTACCGCTTCCAGTTGAAGAAAGGAACCTCCATTGGTGATCACATGAACCACTACACGAAGCTTCTTGCGGATTTGGCGAATGTAGATGTGGTGATTGAAGATGAGGACAAGGCGTTGTTGTTGTTGAGTTCCTTGCCCGACGAGGAATATGACCTTCGTTCTTACTCTTATTAATGGGAAGGCATTTCTTTCGTATAGTGAGGTCACCGTTGCACTTGTGAATTATCAGCTTCGAAAGAAGGATAAGGAGACTTCGATTGAGCCGGTAGCGGGGGCGTTGGTCGCAAGAGAAAAGGGTCCAAACCGTAGTGGGAGGTCGCAGTCTAGAGGGACACATCTTGGAGTTCGTAAGAATCAGTGTGCCTTTTACAAAGAGGATGGACATTGGAAAACCGAATGCCCAAAGTTAGTTGATCGAGCCGGGAAGAATAAGGGAAAAGCTATTCAAGCTTCAGAGGCGAATGTTGTCAAGGAAAATGACAACGATTCAGATTCGGATTCTTCGGGCTACTCGTTATCTGCACTGCCGTCAGTTTGTGTTGCCTACTCTACAGAGTGGATATTGGATTCGGGGGCTACATACCATATTTGCCCCAGGAGGGGTTGGTTCTCCAGCCTTCAGGAGTTGGAAAGAGGGGATTTCGTGCTCATGGGGAATGATCACAAATGCTCTATTGGTGGTATTGGTACTGTTCGGATCAGGATGAGTGACGGGGTGATTCGGGAGTTGGTTGGAGTGAGGTTCGTTCCTCAGTTGAAGAAGAACATCATTTCACTTGGAGCTTTGGAGGCAGCAGGCTATAAGGTGACCTTGCCGCTGCACTTGTGAATTATCAGCTTCGAAAGAAGGATAAGGAGACTTCGTTTGAGCCGGTAGCGGGGGCGTTGGTCGCAAGAGCAAAGGGTCCAAACCGTAGTGGGAGGTCGCAGTCTAGAGGGGCACATCTTGGAGTTCGTAAGAATCAATGTGCCTTTTGCAAAGAAGATGGACATTGGAAAGCCGATTGCCCAAAGTTAGTTGATCGAGCCGGGAAGAATAAGGGAAAAGCTATTCAAGCTTCAGAGGCGAATGTTGTCAAGGCTAGTGGCAACGATTCAGATTCGGATTCTTCGGGCTACTCGTTATCTGCACTGCCGTCAGTTTGTGTTGCCTACTCTACAGAGTGGATATTGGATTCGGGGGCTACATACCATATTTGCCCTAGGAGGGATTGGTTCTCCAGCTTTCAGGAGTTGGAAAGAGGGGATTTCATGCTCATGGGGAATGATCACAAATGCTCTATTGGTGGTATCGGTACCGTTCAGATCAGGATGAGTGACGGGGTGATTCGGGAGTTGGTTGGAGTGAGGTTCGTTCTTCAGTTGAACAAGAACATCATTTCACTTGGAGCTTTGGAGGCAACAGGCTATAGGGTGACCTTGGCGGATGCACGCTTGAAGGTTACATTTGGGTCCACGATTGTGATGAAGGGCGTCAGAAGGAGAAATTTATATTATTTGCACGGAAGCACGGTGATTGATAAGGAGATGACAACTTCATCAGATTCGGCTAGACTGTGGCATTGTTTGGTGCTGGGGTATATGATTGGTAATGCCGTGCATTGGTTGTTGAGGGGTGCTATGACCTGCAGATTGAAGTCCTGTGAGCACATTGGGATGAGCAAGACCGTGGTGGAGTTTGGCACTCCTATCCATCGAGCGAGGGGTCTTTTAGGAGGTGTTCAGTCAGGCATTTGGGGGCCTTCCAAGGAGGCATCATTGGGAGGTAATCGTATCTTGGTTTCCGCAGTTGATGATTGTTCTAGGCATTATTGGGTCGTGACCAGTTCCCGTTGGTGTAAAGTCCTAGAAGTCAACAACAGTTAGAAGAAGTGTATTGGTAGAAAGGTAACTCGTTGTTTCAGCTTTGGTAGGGGTCTTTTCTTGCATTTGTGCCGAGCTCACGGCAGTAGGAGACACTTTATTGGTGTGAAGACTTTAGAGTGACGAGATGAGATGACAGTTTCGATGGGTCGTTCCTTTCTGGAGGAGGATCGGCGTTGGTTGTCGAGCGGGTCGTTCCTTTCTGGAGGAGGATCGGCGTTGGTTGTCGAGCATTGGTTCTGGAGCTTCGACATATTTAGGTCATCTTAGTCACAGGTCGCCGTTGGTTGTCGAGCATTGGTTCTGGAGCTTCGACATATTTAGGTCATCTTAGTCACAGGTCGCCGACTACTGCATTAGGAGTTATTGGATCTGGTGGAGCTGATTCAGATTTTGGATTGCATCGGATATTTGGATACCCAGCATTTGGTCACATTGAGGATGTGAGATTTGATCCGATTGCGCGTTTGGGGTTCGGAGGCTCAGTTGATTATCGTTTGGGAGCTTCTGATTTTGTTCTGAGCAGGTATGTCACTTTTGACTCTCGGCAGGTGGAGAGTGTTGAACAGGTCGTTTGGATATCGCAGCAGGTGGAGAGTGATGCTACTCCACGTTGGGTGGAGATTACTCCACATACTCCAGATCATACTGCGTCATTTGGGATTCCAGCTGAGGTGACACAGGTTGGGGATCATTTGATTTCGGATGCAGATGATGGATTGGTTTTGGATTCGGTTGCAGCTGGTGGACATGATTTGGATACGGCCATTGGTTCACCTCATATGGAGGTGTTTGATTTGTATCAGTTTGGGGCCGCTATCAGTTGCAGATCCGTCGGCGATACTGGGGAAGAGTTGCAGACTTTTCTATTTGTTTGAGGGCCTTTGGAGGCCGTTGGATGAACTACGTGAAGGCTTGATTCCTTGGGCAAAGGATACGTAGGCAGTCATTTTGATGCAGCCGATTTGGTGAGCGACATCGACATTTGGGGTGAGTGTTCGCACTCCCGTTTGGGTCTCATTATGTGAGGCATTTGTTTGGTTGGTGTCGGCTCAGTTTTGGGAAAACTTCGCCGAGGTGGAGAATTGTGGAGAAGAATTGGAAAAAGCAGATTTTTGGTCATAAGTCGACTCATGCACAGGCATAAGTCGACTTATGGTAAGTCGACTTATGTTGGTGCATGAGTCGACTTACGTTCTGCTCTGGATTGTTGGTTTTTTGCTCTGCCAAGTCGACTTATCAGGTCTGATAAGTCGACTTATGATCTCTTCTCCAGTTGCTGTTTTTCGCTCTGCCAAGTCGACTTATGCAGACTGATAAGTCGACTTATGACGGGTTTTTTGGAAAGTTCAGGTTCCTATTTGCAGTCTGTTTGGGTTTCTGTTTTGGTATAAATACCAATACGATTTGAGGGTTTTGTGAGGAGAGTTTTGGGGTTTTGGAGCACCTCTTCTCCAGTTGTCGTTTTTCGCTCTGCCAAGTCGACTTATGCAGACTGATAAGTCGACTTACGACGGGTTTTTTGGAAAGTTCAGGTTCCTATTTGCAGTCTGTTTGGGTTTCTGTTTTGGTATAAATACCAATACGATTTGAGGGTTTTGTAGGAGCGTTTTGGGGGATTTTGAGCACAAAAAGAGAGATCTTTCTGAGCTATTTGTTAGGGTTATTGGTTGAGAGGTTGAGAGATTTGTTAGTGAGATTAGTTGGTTCTTTTGAACGATTTGTAATCTTAATTTGTACTCTCCTTCTCTATTAGTGGAAACCCTCTCCCTTCTTGCCCCGTGGACGTAGGCAATTGCCGAACCACGTTAAAATTGGTGTTTGGTTTGTGCATTGATATTTGGTTGTT